TGAGACAGGAATCCATCAGAATCCTAGAGGAGAACATAGGCAGTAACCTTTTCGATATCAGCCACAGCAACTTCTTTCAAGATATGTCTCCAAAGGCAAAGGAAACTAAAGCGAAAATGAACTTTTGGGACTTCATCAAGATCAAAAGCTTCTGCACAGCAAAGGAAACAGTCAACAAAACAAAGAGGCAACCCACGGAATGGGAGAAGATATTTGCAAATGACAGTACAGACAGAAGGCTGATATCCAGGATCTATAAAGAACTCCTCAAACTCAACACACAAAAAACCAGATAATCATATCAAAAAATGGGCAGAAGATATGAAGAGACACTTCTCCAATGAAGACATACAAATGGCTATCAGACACATGAAAAAATGTTCATCATCACTAGCCATTAGGCCTATACTATTCTTGACTATCCACTCCTCTCATGCCACCTTTCCCACCAACACAGATAGGTGATTTCAGGAAATGACATTTTGTCTAATGCACACAGAGTTATCGGTATGTCCTTTGGAGAATCCCAAAAGGACTTCACGCCTAAGTCACATGGGATAGCATTCTCCCCCAGGAAAATTTAAGTCCTTCCAGCTAAAACAGAACATAAATTTCTTTAGAGAGTTTGCAATGCTAAGGTTTAGTCAGGAAGGTATTGTCAGGAAAAATGAATGATCTTTCATCTAAACATATTTGTGGGAACTTAAGAGAACATAATTGGGCTACAGATAAACTCTTGCTGCCCCAAATGTGGCATCTGCAGCATCTGGGAGCTTATTAGAAATGCAGAATCTCAAACGTCACCCTAGAACAATCTAATCAAAATCTGACCTTTCATGAGATGTGGTTATCTGTATGCACAACCTATCCTGAGAAGCACAGCTTATACCTTTCCAAGGTCTCCACTAATAGAAGACCTGGCACACAACTTCTCAAGTGGATGACCTCCAGTATGTACAGAAACTACGACACAGACAAAGCGAAAAGAGTGGTGACTAAACTAGGATAATTCATACCATTAAAGGAGCAGAAGAAAGGTGTCAATAGCAGGGTACTAGCTAGCGAGAAACAGACAAACTGTATCCAGTGAATGGAATTAGCAATGCTTATTTAATCACAGCCTGAATGTCACCTTCCTTATTGAATGGCCCCACTCTGAATATAAGTTGGCATCTCCTTTGATTTTCTCCTGGCAGGAACTCAGCATGGTCATGCTCTAATTTCTTTCATCAGAACTGTATCAGGATATTTAGATACTTAGAGCACTGAAATGGCACCCACCACAAACATGTAATTCATAACCAAAAGTAATACAAAGAGTATATAAAAGGTTTATAGAGTTCTAATTTCCCAGTCACAATTCTGTGATGATGCTGTGGATAAATTCAACTATCAAATTCTAGCCTCAATTACCAAGAACCCCATGATAATCAAAGTTTAGAGCTGTGCTGTCCAATAAGGCAGCCACTTGCCAGATGTGGCTATTTTTATTTAAATTTTACTTAGTTATATTAAATCCAATATAAGATTCAGATCTTCAGTGACACTAGCCACATGTCAAGTGCTCAAAAGTCACGTGTGTAGAGGTTATATACAGAACCACGCATATATAGAGTATTTCCTTCATCATATGAAGTAGTAGAACTAGAGAGAGAGAGAGAGAGAGAATAGAACAATACAGGGGCACCTGGGTGGCTCAGTCTGCCTTGGTTCAGATCATTATCCAGGGTGCTGAGATCAAGCCCCACATAAGCCTCCCTGCTCAGCAGGAAGTCGGTTTCTCCCTCTCCCATTCCCCCTGCTTGTGTTCTCTCTTTCGTTGTCTTTCTCTCCATGTCAAATAAATAAACATTTTTTAAAAATTCTTTTAAAAAGAATAGAAGTAGACATAGTAATAGATACACATATACAGATATTAGTGATGTGAAAGAGTAAGTCCATCATTTTTCTCCAGAATAAACTGTTATTTAGTCAAGAATTTTGTGAGATGATTGTCAAACCATACATAGCTTGAAATTAACCACAATGGGAATATTTCTGTCATTGAAACCACTATACATCAAGCCTCCTTTTCTCTTTCAGATGCAGAGACCATATTAGATCACTGGTTATGAATATAGAAATATTTATCTTGGACCCCTGGGTGGGTTAAGCCTCTGCCTTTGGCTCAGGTCATGATCTCAGGGTCCTAGGATCCAGCCCCACATCAGGGTCTCTGCTCAGCAGGGAGCCTGCTTCCCCCTGCCCCATCTCTGCCTGACTCTCTGCCTATTTGTGATCTCTGTCTGTCAAATAAATAAATAAAATATTTTTTTAAAAAGGGAAAAAAAGGAATATTTATATTGATTAGTCCTGTGTAAATACAGTTGATATTCTGGACTTGACCCACTGAGAGGAAATAGAAGCAAAGAAACCCTCATAGCAACAAGCACTCCTAGACCTCAGATTCTGGTTTCTAAATACCATTCTCACTAAAAGGAAACAGAGCTTCCTGGAGAAAATGGCTAATTCCAAGGCTCCTCAAGGGAAACAGAAAAGAAACTGGAATGTCCCACACCAGAATGCAAGGAAATGCTCAGGAAATAATATGGCAAAAAGATACAGAATACTCTGTGTGCTATATTGGTGGCTATACATCACTATACATATGTCTAAACCCATAGCATATACAACACCAAGGGTGAACTGTAATGTAAACTATGGATTTGGGGTGGTAATAATGTGTCACTGTATGGACATTGACTATAACAAAATTACCACATGGTGGGGGATTTTGATAGAGGGGGCATGTAAGTGGGGCAGGGGAAATATGGGATAAATCACTGTGTCTTTCACTCAATTTTGCAGTGAACCTAAAACTGCTATAAAAATTAAAGTCTAGGGCTGCCTGATGGCTCAGTTGGTTAAGCAACTGCCTTTGGCTCAGGTCATGATCCCAGAGTCCTGGGATCAAGTCCCACCTCGGGCTCCAAGCTCCATGGGGAGTCTGCTTCTCCTTTTGACCATCTCTCCTCTCATTCTCTCTCTCTCTCTCTCACTCAAATAAATAAATAAAATGTTAAAAAAATATGTAATGTCTATTGGGATGCCTGTGTGGTTCAGTTGGTTAAGTGTCTGCCTTCGGCTCAGGTCATGATCTCAGGGTCCTGGGATCAAGTCCTGTATTGGTCTCCTTGCTCAGTAGGAAGCCTGCTTCTCTTTCTGTCTGCCTCTCCCTCTCCTGTGTTATCTCTCTCACTAACAAATAAATTAATTAAATCTTTTAAAGTAAATAAAGTCTACTGAGAACATAAAAAAAGAAGTTGAAAGGAAAAAAAACACAGGAGCCCAAATGAAAGGACTTACAGAGACAAATCTGAGAAAATTAACAATCTAAATAAAAAATCATATAAGAGACTAAATAAGTAATTAATATATGAGATCATACTGACATTTATAAACAGACAAATACAGAATACTGGATATTATACACAATGAATTGTTGAACACTGCATAAAAACTCATGATATACTCTATGCTGGCTAACTGGACATGATAAAATAAATGAATAAACAAATACAATAATGATGATGAATGGAAAGCTCACCCTAAGAATGGACTATCACTCCTAATGTAGAAGAAATGGTGGAAGTAGAAAGTCATCATTTGCAACCATCATAGTAATAATGGTTTTTGTCAAATACCATCTTTGACTATCATTGCCCTTTGAGCTTTGAACAAACTGTGGCTGTGTTCTCAAAAATGTTCTGGCTACCATTTGTATCTGAACGTGTGTCTTCCTCTGATTTTCTGATATTCCATCTGCTAAAAATCTTCCTCCATATCTCAGAACCATCTCCTGTCTCTGAGATGCCCCATCAAGTGCCCTTTGAAGCTCCCCTGGCTTACCTTTAGGGGTGTCCATTTCTTTGGAATTCTGGGAGTTAATCATCAGCTGAAGAAAGTCCACTCGGTGCTGGACACAGAAAGAGACATTTCAATGACAAAAACTCACTTGTGAAGCCAGAAATAAACAGGGGTGCAGAACCTAACTTTCTCCTGAGACTATGGCTCCTTTACACCCAGAGTCCACAGAAGCTTCTGTGTCAGCATCTTCCAATGTCCCACCCTCTCAGAACTCTGCAAAATCTACAGAGAGATCCTGGGGTACCAGTCCTATCTCCCTGTCCTATATATACCCTAGTGCCGGCCGCCAGGCCTAAGAAAGGCTAACCCTACTTGGCCAGCTTGCAGCCTCAGTGCCCAAAGAAGACACCTGCTCATTCCAGACTATGACCACCTCAAATTTAACATAACTAGGCACCTGAGGGGACCATCCACCAGAGAACATGTGAGAAAAGACACTTAGAATTGAAAGGATCCTTTGCCAATGTAATATATGGCAAAATTATACTACCAGGAAAATGATTTTACACAGTAATTTTTATGTTTTGACCATTTATTGAAGAGAAGTGATAGCTTTTCTCTCACCAAAGTTTATGCACTGACATACTCATTGGCATACTTATCCTTAAATTTTAAACACTCTCTGACTCATCTTCTTATCTCCTCTCCTGACCTCCACCTTCTTCATTGTCTCTAAAATGTTAGAAGTCTCTTGCCCTAAACTCTAGAGTTCTCTGTTTACCATAAAAACATACTTAGTAGTGTACACATCAGATCCATACAGCTCAATAAAAGATCAAAAGTTAACATGCACATGGAAGCACCACTGGATTTACCTTTTGTTTATCTTTGAGGCGACTTTCCTTTATCCTTTCTACAGATTTCTTGAAAAAATCAGTAACTCTTTTTGGAAATAGCCAGATATTTAGCATTTCAAAAACTGGGGTAAGGAATGGAAACAGTACTATAAGAAAAAAAAATGGAAATATCAACGAAAATGCAAATTTTCCCTAGAGCAATTATAATTTTGTCTACCAACCTGAGGATTAAAAGACACCAGGATTCATGGTTATTCCCTCTGTGACATTTATTCAAACTTTTGAGCTAATGGCTAAGCCACAGCAAGTCACACACACAGGCCACCATTAGAGCAGTCAGATCAGTGTCTCCTGCCACATCTATGGAGTGACCAAAGGAACAGGATTACATTCTTGGATCTCTTAGCCTTTTATTTTTGGACTAGAGCCTCTTTGGAAACACAAGACCATAATATGCTACTTTAATATATCACTCCATTTAAGAAATTGTGTCAGGATGGAATAATACATAGTATGCCCTTCAACAACAATGGAGTAAAACTAGAAAACAAAAATATAAACAACATGGAAAACCCACGAATCTGTGAAAATTACACAATACATTCTTATACAGCCAGTCAGCAAAGAAGAAATCTAAAGGGCATTTTAGAATTACTTGGAGAATATATGCATGAGGAAACCACACACCAAAACTTATGGGATGTATCAAAAGCAATGACCAGAAAGAAATTTATCATTATATATGCCTACCTTTAAAAAGAACCAAGATTCCAAATCAATGACCCAGATTTCTGTCAAAAACATGCCAAAAATACAAGAGCACGCTAAACTAAAAGCAAGCAGAAGGAAGCATATAATATAGACAAGAGCAGAAACTTAGGAATTAGAAACTTTAAAAAAAAAAAAAAAACAAGAGAAAATTCAAAGAAAGCAAAGCTGATTCTTTCAAAAGACCTTTAGCTAGACAAAGGAGAAGACATTCTAATTACTGTCATCAGAAGTGAAAGAGGAGATTACTGCTAACATTACAAAAATAAAAAGGACTACAGAGGTGGAGCGCCTGGGTGGCTCAGTGGGTTAAAGCCTCTGCCTTTGGCTCAGGTCATGTTCCCAGGGTCCTGGGATCCTGTATCTCAACCCCACATCAGTCTCTCTGCTCAGCAGGGAGACTGCTTCCTCCTCTCTCTCTGCCTGCCTCTCTGCCTACATGTGATCTCTGTCTGTCAAATAAATAAATAATCTTTTTTATAAAAAAGGACTACAGGGAATACTATGAAAGTGAATGCCAATCAATTAGACAAAATGGAAAAATTCCTAGAAAAAGATAAACTAGAAAGTGACATAAAATGACACACACACACAGGCAATCTGAAAGACAAATAAAAAGACAGAGTTAGTAGTGAAGAAACTACTGACAAAAAGAAGTTGACAAAAAGTCAATTATCATATGGTTTCACTTATTTGTGGAGCATAACAAATAGCATGGAGGACATGGGGAGTTAGGAGAAGGGAGTTAGGGGAAATTGGAAGGGGAGATGAACAATGAGAGACTATGGACTCTGAAAAACAATCTGAAGGGTTTGAAGAGGTGGGGGGGTGGGAGGTTGGGGGAACCAGGTGGTGGGTATTGGAGAGGGTACGGATTGCATGGAGCACTGGGTGTGGTACAAAAAAACAATGAATACTGTTATGCCGAAAATAAATTTTAAAAAATGATTAAAAAAAAAAAAAAGAAGCTCAGCTCCAGATGGTTTCTCAGGTGAGTCCTTGCAAATATTTAAAATGCAGTCAACACTAATTTTGCACAAATTCTTCAAAAAATAGAAGAGGTAGGAAGATTTTCAAACTCATTCTGCCTAGCCAGTTTTACCCTGATACTAAAACCAAACAATAATATCACAGTACAAGAGAACTACAGACCAATATATCTTATGACACAGAAGCACAAATCCTTAACAAAATATTAACAAACTGAACCCAGCAACATATCAAAAGAAGGATATACCATAACCAAGAGGGGTTTATCCTGGCAATTCCAGGTTATTTAATAAAATATAACAACAAATGTTTTTTTAAACCACACAGTGGGGCACCTGGGTAGCTCAGTGGGTTAAGCCTCTGCCTTCAGCCCAGGTCATAATCTCAGGGTCCTGGGATCAAGGCCCACATTGGTCTCTCTGCTCAGCAGGGAGCCTGCTTCCCCCCTCTCTCTGCCTGCTTCTCTGCCTACTTGTGATCTCTGTCTGTCAAATAAATAAATAAAATCTTTTTTAAGGCATTTTTTTTATTCTTGTAAACTTAAGGAATTGGGAAAAATCAAAGATTGATACTCCTGGGCAGTTTTCTTCCTTTACTAAGGGAAATTAAGCATACTGGCAAAGGACATTTGAGTAGGTTGATCATTTATCAAGTAGTACTTATCCAATAAATGAAACATAGCCTCACATCTTAAGCCATTGTCCTTCAGTTGCTGTCTTTCATTATACACCCTAATGGGCAGCCTCATTATCACCAGTCTACCTCTCTTTCTTTCTAATCTTTTTTAAAAAATGAAATAAAAATAAAAACCACACAGTTATCTCAATACAACCAGAGAAAGTATTTGACAAAAATCTAACACCATTTGGTAATAAAAACACTCAACAAACTAGGAGCAGAAAGGAATGTCCTCAACCGGATAAAGGGCATCTATGAAAAACTCATACGTAATGTCACACTTCATGGATATAGACTGGACACTTTCCCTTAAGATTAAACAAAACAAGGTCGTCTCTATCACCACTTCTATTCAACATTGTACTAGAAGTTCTATCCAGGAAGAGAAAAAAATGAAGGAAGGAAAAAATAGAGGGGGGAGTGAGGGAAGGAAGGGAGGGAGGGAGGAATGAAGAAATGGAAAAGAAAAGAAAAGGGAGAGAGAAAGAAAGAAAAAAAGAAACAAAAGTTATTCATAAAGGAAATAAAGAAGTAAAAGCATCTCTATTATCAGTCAACATAATATTGAACATAGAAACTCTGAAGGAATACAATAAAAGTCTACTAGAACTAATAAACCAGTTTAGCAGGGCTTCAGGATACAAGATTAACATAAAAATCAATTCTATCTCGTGGCTGTGGTGAGAAGTATGCTTCTGGGGGCTTTTCTGTCCCTCGGCAGGGTTTTTGACTTGGGAGTCACAAGGGCCCACAACTCCACCACCCCAGCACTTTGGAGGTTGCTCCTGTGCCACAGACTCCCAGGAAATCATCAATTGCTGAACACTCAAAGCTAGGGGGAGAGAGAAGAGAAGAGCAACAATTTTAAGAACAGAAAATTGACTGCTTTCTGGAAGGTAGGACATGCAGAGAAGTGAATCCTAAGTGACAGGAAAATAGACCGCAAGGGGAGGGGCTGGCTCCCAGCAAGTGAGAGAGCAGGGGATCACAAGATTGGAACTTTTAGAAGTCTGCTCCACTGAGGAATGTTGCTCCAGAGGCTAAGCACGGGGTGGAGCCCTTGCATGGACAGTGTGGTCTCAGGACCCACAGGGACACAAAAAGACCAGTAGTATCTGAGGGTGGCAGAACTCCCAGGTATTGGAGCAGGGAAGATGGCTGCAGAGACAGAGCCAAGAACTGGGCTCTCAGCTTGGGATTACCTTAAACCATGATCCAAGGCACAGTCATGCCACTGCTCTTCGAGCAGGGACCCCACGAGTGGCAGATCTGGAGAGACCCCTCCTACCTCCTTCCAGAGGAAGCAGGAGTGCACTGCAGGAATCTGCTGGGTTTGGAGACTCCAAAGTGGGCCATGAGCCAGAGAGAGAAACACTCAGTCAGGCCGGGTGAGCACAGAGCATGGCTGGAGACCAGGGAGATGGGAGGGATTGACTTCTTTTCTCTGAGGGTGCACTGAGGAGTGGGACCCAAGCTCTTGGACACTACAGAGCTGGAGAGTGGGAGGCCACCATCTTCATTCCCATCCTCCAAAGCTCTATAGAAAGTATTAAGGGAACAAAAGTTCTGAGAGCAAACCCAAGCAGATCACTTAGCCTGGCCTCTGGCAAGGGCAGTGCAATTCCACCTTGAGCAAAGACATTTGAGAATTACTGCAACAGGATCCTCCTCAAGAAGATCAGCAAGAATATTCAGCCAAGATCAAGTTCATCGATCAATGAGAACTGTGGAACTCCAGAGCTAGGGGAAAGCAACACTGCATTGGAGCACTGGGTGTGGTGCATACAACAAATTTTGGAACACTGAAAAAAAAATTAATTTAATTTAAAAAAAAATTTTAATGGCTTTTTTCCCATGATTCTTTAGTTTTTTCAAAGATAAATTTTTAAATTTTATTTTTTCTTATTCTATTTTTAAATGTTTCCTCTTATTTTAACGTCTTTAAACTATCTTATCAATGCCTTTTTAAAAATTTTTAATTTTCATTGTTATAGTCATATTTTATCCCTTCATTGTATTTAACCTTATTTTGTATACACATATGCTTTCTTTTCCTTTAAAATTTTGGGATACAATTTCTTCTAATGGATCAAAATATACACTAAATCTAGTGCATGGCTTTGTTCTAGTCTCCAGCCTGATCACATTCTTTCCTCTTTTTCTTTTTTCTTTTTTCAACCATCTTCTAATCTTTTTTTTTTTTAATAAACATATATATTTTCCCCCAGGGGTACAGGTCTGTGAATCGCCAGATTTACACACTTCACAACACTCACCATAGCACATACCCTCCCCAATGTCCATAACCCCACCCCCTTCTCCCAATCCCTCTCCCCCCAGCAACCCTCAGTTTCCAACTTCTTATCAACTCCTTTTTTAGAATCTTTTTTAATTTTCATCTTTACAGTCATATTCCATCCCTTCATTGTGTTTGCCCTTATGTTTGTATCTGTGTAAGTTTTTCTTTCTTTACAATTTTGGGAGGCAATTTCTTCTAACAGACCAAAATACACCCAAAATCAAGGGTGTGGCTCTTTTCTATTCACAAGTCTAATATATATGTTCTTTTTTCCCCCCTTTCTTCTCCCCCTAGCTTCAAGTCTCTTCTAATTTGATTGTGTATATTTTTCTGGGGTCGTAGCTACCCTTTTAGTATTTTGTTCTCTCATGCATCTATTCTTGTCTGGATAAAACAACGAGGTGGAAAAAC